AAGCATCACAATTACAATGTAGGCCTTAATGCTCTGTATGCTTGCCTGTCTATTACCCTGCATATTTAACTCTCGGTCTCTTAATACAGTCAAACCTGTCTATAGCGACCGCCCAAGGGAAACACAAAAAGTGGTCTTTGTAGACAGGTGGTCTTTGTAGATAGGTTCCTTTAGTACATACTTCAATGAGAAACCATTTTCAAGGAAGACAAAATTTGTGGCCTTTGTAGACAGGTGGTCTTTGTAGACAGGTGGTCACTAAAGCAGGTTTGACTGTATATGTCTCTCTTTCTATCTCTCTCTCTCTCTCTCTGTCTGTCTGGCTCTCTCTCTCTCTCTCTCTCTGTCGCTCTTCTCTTGCTCTTCCTCCTATCTCTTTCTCTGTGTCTTTCTCACACACACTCTCTTTCTCTGTATCTCATAGTACCAATCATTTTGATCGAGTCAGTTCATATCCCACCGCTGCCACCAGGACATAAAGACACAGTGACAGTCTCAGTAAACTTAAAATCTCTGTATTGAAGACACATATCACAAGCCAAGGAGGTAGTGCACTACCAAGAGATGGCTGAAGATAGCTGCACAATATTAATGATTCTTGCAGAAATTAACAGGAGGATGACACAAGGTGGCGCTAAAGCTTAACATGTTCCTTCATTTCTTCATTCCAATAGGCTTAATGCAGGGAGCACCCGGTTCCTAGAGGCAAAGGATTAAACTTAGATTTAACACGATGGCGCTTGTTTCTCTCACTCCAATCTACCTCCTCTTTTATTTCTCTGTCTGTTACTCTTCCTCTCTCCCTCTCTCTCTCTCTCTCTCTGCCTTCTCTCCTCTCCAGGGATGTCAACATTGGCAGAGTTGAAAGCATTCCCTTCCTATTTTACATCCATGTAGTTAACATATATTTTTTAATTACAACATTTCAGGTAATGTTTTCCACTGTGGACAGACAACAGACTGGCTGCATCAGCCTAGCCTCTTTCCAGGAGTTACTGGGAGCATTACTGAACAAGGATCTAGCCTCCGACACCAGGCTCTTCAGTGACATCCTGTCCACCATTGGCAAGGTAAATGAACTTATGTGTTATATATCTGAAACTAAGATTACATATCAATGTTAAAAACCTGCTCTGATCTTTTTAGAAATATGTCTATGAGACATAGGCCTATAACAGCTGTAGTTCTTTTTTGGTCTAAATAGGTATTATGCTCTTTGATATGAAAGTTCCATGAAAGGAGGGAGGGTGTTCCTAGGGGTGATTGTACTTTACTCTATAGAATATGTATCCAAGAGTCTTGCAGTTGAAGTAGATTTCAAACTAGATGGGTTAAATTCATTGCATTATTTAATTCAGCATTTTTCACCATGTTTTACATGTATAATTAATGTTCATAGTCTTTCGATTTTTATACTCCATGATAAATATATCTAGTTATATTTGGGTGTATTTTCTTATTTTTCAGAATGGATCATTGTCAATTGACAAGGTAGAGTATTTGGTCCTCATTCCGTTCTTCCTTGGCTTCAAGTGAAAAAGCACCCCTTCCAGAAATAATGGTATGCATGGTCTTATCCAGCACCTTATCTATGATGGTAAGGGTTCTTCCATCTTGAAGATGGGTAGGACAAGATCCCATGATGTCTTCATACTGTACTTCCTCAGCTACCAGTGAGAAATCACCCCTTCAAAAGTTAATGGTATGGTCTGAAGCTGTTCCATATCTATTTTGATCAGGGTTCTTCCATTTTGAATACAGGGTTCAACGTGATCAATACATTGTCTTACATATTTGTACTCCCTCAGCTATCTGTAAAATGGCATCCCTTCCAAGACTAATAAGCTTTGATCCAAGTTGAAATGGATTATTTTTTTTGTACACGTAGTTCTATCACTATTAAAGATTGGAGCCATCGATCAAAATTGTATAATATAAGAATAGTCTTTATCTTGCAATTAAATCTGTATAAATTGTATTTTATATGGGGAGAAAATTATAAAAGCCAGTGATGTGACCTCTGTATACATAGTGCCATTCATTTTGTCCACTTGCAATAGTTGTTTCTTATTGATATCCGTCCAGAAAAGAAATATGTAAAACAAAAGTAAATTTTACTTTAAGATGTAATGTTACTAAACATATTTTCTTCTTTAATAAGAATAGGAATTGCCTGTATTTATGTATTTGCCTTAGCCTCAAGTTTTATATGATAGCTGATCTGAGATGATTCTTTATGTGGTAGCAATTGAATATCATGTATTACAAGAGGCTAATATTAAGTTTAATTTTGCTTGTTTCATGGAAATGTGATATCTTGGTGCCATTATTGTTACAGTTTGCAAACAAACTTGTTTTCTCAAAAGTGTTGATTTTGGTTTTCAGGTTTTTTCATTTCTGATATACATGTACAGTTAACAAGTATGTGAATTATGTGAATAATTGATTTGTCCAATTTATGTTTCTTGAGAAAGTGACATATCAGAGCTTACATCTAAAAGTATCAAACAAAGGCACTACTAATGCAACTAGTTCACCTTCCATTCTTGAGTAACAAAAAACATAAAAGTCATCAAATTTACAAGGGTTATGAATAATTCAGTTGTTAACTGTTCATGTATATCAGCCATTGCACTGCATTAATGATACATATATTTGTGCCATATTAGTGTATGCAGTGTACACTAATATAGTACATGCACATGTAAACATATTGTTTTGCTGTCTTTTAATACCTCTTCCTACGCATATTTATGACCTTGAAAGGTTTTGAAAGATTTCATGCTCTAAAAACGTGACCTTCTGCAGATAGTGTAATTGCTTTATAGTTTTGTGGTGTCTAAAACTGATTACAATTTACAAGAGAAAACAGATTTTAACTCCCTAAATCTTGTGTTAAATGATCATTCCATGCAGTCTTAAAATCATGTACCAGTTCTTTGTTTCAGCATATACCTTTTTTTTAACGTTCCAGCAATGAACTTGACAAGTTTCAGTCATAATTTGATTGTGACTTTTACCTGGGTGCATGCATGCAGTGCATATTCACTATAATGCACCTGCAAACATGAAATAGTTGTAAAATAATGTACCTTGAAAATATCCAGTCTTTCTATAGAGTAAATGCACCTTTGAAACATTCTGAAATAAGTCAATTTTTACTATGTATATTATATATTGACTTTGATGTAAATATAATATATTAAAACACGATAGTCTATTGATTGACATGAACAAATGCATGCCAAGTAAAAATGTGTCACAGGGCATTGTAAATTATTGGTATGCTTTGCTGATGTCAACAAATACAAATAAGTTTACGTGTGTATTTTTGAAAAGTTTGTGTGAAGAGATTGATGTATTTAAATCATATGTATATTTATCTATGAAAATGAAGAGAGATAAATAGAGCTATCGCATTTAGGGCTGCCGTTGCATGAAGTACATAGATGTGCTATATTATTTATGATTCCCTATCCAGAGTTGGTTGAATTTGAATAATAAATAATGGAGAAAAAATGATTTACCCAGTAAATAGAATGTGTTACACTATTTGTATGTCTGTACTTGTTTTCTCTGAATATTTTAGTACACTTTTTTTTTCCCCTTTTGATTGGCAAATCATTTTCTTGTAACATTTGACAATTATTCACCGCACACTTGGACATGAAAGACTTGCAGTAATCTCAGCATGCCTCTGTTTTTCATGACCTTATATCTGGGTGAATCCATATGCATCAAGTCCATTTTCCTTGCTCTCATTACATAATTTAATTCATTAGCTTTGATTTTGTAATGAATAAATGCCATTGTGTAGTGATGATTAGTGAAAAAGCACCCCTACCTTTTCGAAAGAGAAAGACAGACAGAGAGGGAGAGATACAGAAACAGAGATATACAGACCGACAGATGGAGAGAGCAAGCTAAATAACCACAGACAATATGCTCTCATTACATAATTCAATCATTTGTATGGAAAAGGGAGGTTGACACTTAAAGTTCAGTGATAATTAACTTTGATTTCTGTAATGAATATGCCATTATGTAGTGATGATTGGTGAAAAAGCACCCCTTCCTTTCTGAAAGAGAGAAAGACAGACAAAGAGGGAGAGATACAGAGACAGAGATATACAGACCGACAGATGGAGAGAGCAAGCTCAATAACGATAATAATATACATTTATAAAGCACAGACAATATGCTCTCATTACATAATTTAATCATTTGTATGGAAAAGGGGAGGTTGACACTTGAAGTTCAGTGATGTTTTCTATAATGAATATATACCATTGTGTAGTGATGATTGGAGAATATGGTTGTCGAGTCCTGCCCAACACAGTTGTGGCAGTGTCTAGTGTACAAATAAATTATTTGAATATGTGCCGCTCAGATACATGTAGTTTCAGAGTTTTGCCTGTTTGCCTAAAGAGAATTACTTGTATAGTGTGATTGAGTGTGGAGAAAGCGAAAGCCCTTGATGGGAATAGAGAGAGAGAGACAGAGAGACAAAGATACACAGAGAAAGAGAGACAGACATACAGGGATAAAGAGACAGAGAGAGACAGAGAGAAACGGACAGACAGGGATAGAGAGACATAGGAAAACAGGCAAAGAGAGAGAGACAGAAAAAGATAGAGAGTGAGAGAAAGATAACTCTAATAGGAACACTGTCTAAACACGTGGAAGTTGTCTAGAGTGTACATAGGAGAAGTTGACAGGTGAAAGAAAGTACAACTACATGTATAATAGGCCTACAGAGAGTTTTGTTCGAGGATGTACACATCATATACCTGTCAATTATATATATGGTTTGATGTTTTACATATGTTTTGTAAGAAGTTGTATGGAATCCACATTAGACAAATATGACACAGATTTGAAGAACAGTATGATACAATTGAGTTTCAAAATACATTTCATATCATTTAATTTTGTTCAAGCATAAACATTTTTATAAAATATACTCAACAATTTCAGGGATTTAGATCCATGAGTATTATTACTTTTTTTCTTCAATGCACATGCAGAAACATGTTGTGTCATCTACTTGTATGTCCAGTGATTTAGAGTTTGGGTAGTATTCTGAAAACAATGTTATCTTTACGGTAGTAAAAAGTATGTTCATTGTCATAACAAAGTGAAATTGTGCAGAATAGACATATTTCATCTTTGCTCCCGCAGATGCCTACAGGCGTATGGTATGCAGCCAGTTTGCAAAAAATAGTAACCATGACTTGGCCTACTTGCGATTTCTTATGACAATCAACATTACTTTGCTATCAAAACAGATGACATGGTTTTCAGGACACCACCCCAGTGCCATTGCTTAGAAGAGTTGGCCAATCTGTTTTGAGTTGGGCACAGTACGGTGAATACTGCTTTCGTTGGGAAAGTACAAAAAAACAGAATGTACGCCACGTTGTGACCAACTGAAATCAAGTTGGCCAAACTCTGTGTATAGATGGCTCTGATTAAGACTAGAAACTATTCTGAAAAAGTTAACGCAGCCTCCTTTCTTTCATAGCTAATTGCCCTATGATTTGCTAATAATAATAATAATTTGATCAATTTATAGAGCGCAGCTATTATTAAATATACTCTACTGATATGATGAAGAAAAATAACTGCTAACAGTGCTACTTTACAGACACACAATAGCAAAATAGAATCTATTTTAAAGCTCCTGCAAACAAGTGCGTCTTCAACAAAACTTTGAAGAGAGCACCAGATGAGGCTTGTTTTTATGTCTAGTAGGAGTTATTCTAAAGCTTTGGAGCGGCACAACTGAAAGCACAATCTCCAAGATTTACCCTTGTTTTTGTGTGAGGTAGCTTTAGAAGCAGCTTGTCCTGTGTACTTCATTAGTGTTCACAGGCGGCTGGTTTCACTGAAAAATGAATAAACACAATAGGCGATCGGTCAATGTGAATATGTGATCAAATGATTTATAATGCATACAGGAACATGTACAGGGTTGCATACACGTTTCTATCAAGAACTTATTGTATCCCCCCCCCCCCAAAAAAAAAAAGAAAAAGAAGAGAAGCTGGTTCATGAATCTGATGAGGAGTCACTGATATCACTATCACTGAAGTCATAGCCCCCTAGCAGACTCAGTCCACTTGATTTCTCTTTCGCGACCTTCTGCGATGCAACCTTCTGCTTCTTAAGTCCTTCTTGTATGCTACTCGCAAACGAAGCCTCAGCCTCCTCTTGCTTCTCCTCCTCCGTCTTCTCCTTCTTCTTTTCCTTCTCCTTCTCTTCTTTCTCCTTCTCCTCCTCCTCCTCCTTCTTTGCTGTAGTGTTATTACCATCCGAGTTCTCACTATGTGATTCACTATTTTGGTCACTCTCTGCTGCTGAATCAGTTCTCTTCTCAATTTCTCCATTCCCACCTATTGACAATGGTGCTGCATCTGTCGCAGTATGGGATTCAGCCTCAACTTGTTTTGTGGTCAACAGTGCTGCATCCGTTGCAGTATCCGATTCAGCCTCAACTGCTTTTGTGGTCAATGTTGCTGCATCTGTTGCAGTATCAGATTTAGTTTCAACTAGTTTTGTGGTCTGACTTGGACTAGTTTCTGTTGATGATGTTACATTGTCTTGATCCTGTTTGCTGCTGCTGCTATCGCTCTTCTTGACCTTGACTAGACCCGAGAGGAATGACCTTGAGGATGACTTTGTGGATGACTTTGTAGATGACCTTGAGGAGGTGTCTGCTAGCTTCTGTTTCTTGGCTCCTGATGGTCCACCGACTTCCTGTTGATAAAAGGGCAGACGAGAGAAAAAGATGATGAGCTGAATATTTTTCAACAATCACTATGAATATGACGAACAAAGAAAGATGACAAAATATACAGTACCTCATTCTACCCTCAACAGTTGCTGTGGAAGACAAAAGGAACATTCCTTCACTGCTATTATGTAAAGATTGTAGAGCAGGTGTCACATGCATATTCACCTGTTCTACATATTTTTACATAATAGCTGTGAAGGGATGTTCCTTTGTCTACCACAGCAATTGTTGAGGGTAGAATGAGGAACTGTATATTTTGTCCTCTTTCTTTGTCCGTCATGTTCATAGTAAATGCAATTCATATTTTCCATTCATATCTCATACTCCAGATTTGACCCTAAAGTGCTTAATATTTTGAAGGTCTCAAGAGCCTGTGGGGCAGCAAATTCCATGAACCCGCCATCTGAACCGCCAAGCAACAAGAAGTAATGAAACCTGGCATATAATGAAGGAACCAATGAAGTCTAATGTAAATACCTCAGTTTGGGGATAAGTTATGAAGTTATTTTTGATTGAATGATGATTCAGCATTGTATGCAGTATTAGAAAAATTATTTTAGTTTTATTACACAAAGCACATTCATGTTTTTATAAACTGCATGGGTTCTTGGCCATAGAATGAGGAAAAATTCTGAAATTTGGCATACAGATAGAGTATCTCACAAAGAATATTTATCCTGGAATGTATAGCAGGGCCCTCAAGGGGGGTTGATTCAGACCTCCCCCCCCCCCCTCCCACAGCCCTAATATGGTTACGGACATCATCATAATCATACACAAAGACGATGCTTACATCTGTCAGAATATCAGTAGGCCTTTTAAATGTCGTAGAGGATGGAGAAGGTTTGGAGATGCTAGGAGATTCATCATCTTCGGCATCATCATCATCGTCTAGTCTCTTGATTATGATACCGTCTCCTCCCTTGCCAAAGAGTCTCCTACAAGAACCATGTGAGAAAGAGAATGAAAAAAATACAGCAATAGAAATAATATACTCATTGGTCAAGTTAGCAGAAGATCAGGAGACAACCTTGAACATATTATTATTCAAGGTACCTTTAAAGGAACACGTAGCAAAGGAAGACCCAAGCTAAGATGGAGTGACAGTCTTAGGGATATCACTGACCACACTCTCAATAGACTCTATCGAATTGCAGCAGACAGATGCCGATAGAAAGGTCTCATCACATGGGTTACAAGGGTTAGCCATGATCTATAGGACAACGATGACGAAGATGGAGAGAAGGGATCATTGAAAGATGATAACAACCACAAGATTGTCACTCTGTGACGCCCCTGATGCTCCAACATTATAACCTCTGTCATAGCAGAGTGGACAAATATGTAGCCCTTTAACATTAGCATATTGGGTAGCCATTAATACCTGGGTGGAGAGTGGCAGACTTGAAGTAATGTATTAATTCCAGGATGGGATTAGAAACCTGAACTCTTGGATTGAGAGTCGAGTGAATGAACCATGAACATAACAGAGAGAGATATAGAGAAAGAGAGAGAGGAAGAGAGAGAGATAGAAAGAAACAGTGAGACAGACACAGAAAAAGGAAGCGAATTTGTTTAACAATCGATCCATACCTGCCAACCTTTGAAGACTAAAAATAGTAATCATTTTTTATGAGGACTGTGACGGAGCGGAGCAACAGAACGAAGGAGCGAAGCGACCGAGCGGGGGGTGGGTGTGGGAGAGGGCTGTCCTCCTCCCACGGTAGGGAGATTTTGGTATTTTCAACATGTAGGAATGCCTTTTTCCTTCACTTTAAACTCATTTTTCAACACTTATGCAACCCCCTCCCCCATAAAAAATAGGACTAAAAGCTCAAAATTCCCCTGATGAAATAGAACCTGGAGGAGAAAAATAAAGGGCTGTGCATAAGCGTGTAATGAGGTACTCGAATACGCAATTTTGTTGTTGTTGACACAACCATACTACGGTAGAAGTATCCCAGGTCCATCACCGAAAACTCAAGCGATTTTACTTGGAGTTGCAGTTGAAGGCGCTGATTTAATAATAATAATAGTAAACAATGCTGTTTTTAAAACAAAAGATGACAGACTCTCAGAGTTCAAACAGAAATCTGGACATTTGGTCCCACTTTCCGAGTGGTGAGTTGACAGTGATTGAGCTGTTAAACTTTTTTTTGCTCTTGGTACCATGCTGGTGCTCTCCCGGGCACGCTTAAGCGTTGGCCTGGACAATGCCAGGTGAACGGGCAAAAATATATATATATATATATATATATATATTTAAAAAAAAAAAAAAAAATAAATAAATAAAATTAAAAATTAAAAATCGTAATTTTATGACAAAAAATCGTAAGACGTAATTTGAATAAGAAAATCGTAATAATTACGCCAAAATCGTAGTAGTTGGCAGGTATGATCGATCATGCAATCACCTCTTTCATCCCTCCGTCCGTCCGTCCGTCCATCCATCAATTTCAATCCATCAAATTCTTACCTAATCTCCTCTTCATCGTCCTCCTGTTGCTTCAGCCCAAGTGCCTCTTGCTCTGGGCCTTGTTTGAAAATCTCCTCATAGTTAATAGCGCCCTGTCTCATGCTGAGCTCCCTCCCTTCCTCCCTTCCTCCACCTATCTATCCCTCTATCCATCTATCTATCTATCTATCTATCTATCCATCAATTTTACCTTATCTCCTCTTCATCGTCCTCCTCCTGTTGTTTCAGCCCAAGTGCTTCTTGCTCTGCGCCTTGCTTGAGGATCTCCTCCTAGTTGATAGCCCCCTGTCTCATGTTGAGCTCCCTCCCTCTCTCCCTCCCTCCCTCCACCTATCTATCCCTCTATCCATCTATCTATCTATCTATCTATCTATCCATCAATTTTACCTTATCTCCTCTTCATCGTCCTCCTCCTGTTGTTTCAGCCCAAGTGCTTCTTGCTCTGCGCCTTGTTTGAGGATCTCCTCATAGTTGATAGTACCCTGTCTCATGTTGAGCTCCCTCAGCTCCTCAAGATTCTCCATCACCTCCATCTCTAGCTTAGAGTCCTTGGTTCGGTTCTCCAGCACCTACACACCAGGAGCAGAGCAGGCAATATTTGTTATATTATTCTTATACAGCACATAGCGACAGCCATTTACTGCCTTTGTGTTTTTGAAGAAAGAGAAAGAGTTACTAAATAATGAGGTATTTGCCATGACAGGAACAAGAAAAAAACTTCTGAATATAATAAGAGATCGACAGCTAAGCTTCTTGGACCATGTTATACGAAAGAATAGTTTTGGAAAATCTTGTACTGACTGGAAGAATCGAGGGGAGGAGGAGTAGGGGTAGAAGGAGGATTCTGTGGATGAGTAGCTTAATGAGTGGGATTTCTGAAAGAGGAATTGATCTCGGGGAGAATGAATTACTTCATAGAATATGGGACAGAGAGTTGTGGCACTCTATGGTCATCAACGTCTCAGGACATGGCACGTAGAGAGAGTGTTTGAAAAACGCATTTGGTGATAAAGCTGTATTTACATGTACTTTGCGTCCTAAATTTAAATTCTATCACATTTTCCCACCATACAATTTGGAAAAAGGGGTGGACACTTTTTCCCCTTTGAGATAACATGGGTTAAAGAGGTGCGCATTGGCTGGTTTTGCCATTGCGGCCTCCTCCACCCCTTCCCCCTTTTCCGTAAGTCAGTAAGTCAATCTTCTTTCCTATCATCTGGGCCCTGTTTCATAAAACAAAAGTTACAATGACTGTTATAACTGAAATTGCTGCATTTGATTGGCTGAGAGCAAATTTGTTATAGAAATGTGACACTCGTTATTGAAAACAATTTTTATGACTGCTGCTACCGGGTCAAGCTCGCTATCCATAAGGACCATTATTCATAGGGACCGCTATCCATAACGTGTGACGAAATAAATAGTGATCCTTTATGAAGAGCGGCCATTATAAATAGTGAGCAAACCATAGACAATTTGCCTCACTATTCATAAGGACCGCCATTTGTTAGGACCATTACTCATAAGGACCGCTATCCGTAACGCGTGACAAAATGAATAGCGATCCTTTATGAAGAGCGGCCATTATAAATAGTGAGCAAACCATAGAAAATTTGCCTCACTATTCATAAGGACCGACATTTGCTAGGACCATTACTCATAAGGACCGCTATCCATAACGCGTGACAAAATGAATAGCGATCCTTTATGAATAGCGGGCTTGACCTGGTAGTAGTACAGGGCCGTTTCATAAAACGGGTTTTCAATAACAAGTGTCACCTTTCTATAACAAATTTGCCCTCAGCCAATCAAATGCAACGATTTCCATAGCTTATGACAGTCCTTATAAATAGCGAGCAAACCATAGACACTTTACCTCCCTATTCATAAGGACCGCCATTCCTAAGGGCCACTGTTAATAAGGACTGCTATCCATATTGTGTGACTAAATGAACAGAGGTCTTCTATGAATAGCTGCCCTTATAAATAGCGAGCAAAATTACAGACACTTTTCCTCGCTATTCATAGGGACTGCCATTCGTAAGGACCACTATCCATAATGTGTGACTAAATGAAAAGCAGTCTTTTATTAATAGCGGCCCTTATGTATAGCGAGCAGACCCCCTGTACTGGACTGCTACCTACCTTCATGGGGTTTGTGGCATCTTCCTCTGCTTGCTTCTTCTCCTTCTCCTCAGCTGCTTGATAGAGCTTGGCCGCTTCAAACAATCTGATAGCTCCTTGTTCTAAGGTGTAGTCGGTTTGTTGGGGATCCGTCTAGAAATGTAAACAAATTAAACATTAAGTAGCATCATGAAGTTGCGATTTTGAAAGATGTGGTGAAGGGAAAGTTAACTCTGCATAAGTCAAACATGTTGGGGACGGCCAGAGAACGGTCTGACTCATGCATAATTCAACTTAAACAGTATAAATAATACATGTTTTGCATAGTTTGGGTCAAAGATTAGAAGTGATTCAACTTAGGGAAAATCTTGTTCTAGGGTGTAGTCGGTTTGTTGGGGATCCGTCTAGAAATGTAACTAGAAAACAAAGAGTAACATTGTCGATTTGCGATTTTTGAAAGATGTAGTGAAGGATGCTGCAGGTACAGTTAACTCTACAGAAGTCTGAATCTGTCGGGACTGCCAGAAAAAGTCTGACTTTATTATGCACAATTCAATAACGAACATCGCTGAGACAGTTACTAGAAGCTGGTGATCAAGAGGACACAATCACATAATTTCATGCTGATATTTTCGAGAAGTTTTGGCAAAGGATAATGCAGTAGATATAGTTCCCACGGTCATGGAAAAATACATTCTTCTGGAATCTAGTGGAAAGACCCAGAGAAATATATACATTTTGAGGAACCTATCCACAACAAGCTCTACTTTTCCATAGGCTCCGCCACTATATCTCTTAAGTTCTACTTAATGGACATATTCTGAATCTAAAGTGTGGACCGGTATTGTATGTACATGTATATTATAATCATTATCAATATGTTGTTACACTCTTTGTAAAATGAGATATTGTGGAAACCAATAAACTATCTATCTATCTAAACTATCTATCTATACATCTTGTACTAGTCGAACCCAAACAAATTCCACAACACTCACAAGGCGAGTTGCAATATTACCAAACCAATATGTCATAGAGTATTGTTTTTGTTTAGACACCCTGTATATGCTTACCTTGAAGACAACTTCTGAGATGCACCTAGGACATCTGATGTAGAAGCGATAGATGCGCAGTCCCAGGTAGTTCTCATTGTGGACATTCTCTGTCTTGGCGTTGAACTTCTTCCCCTTGTAGATGTACTCGTTGCACACCTTACATCTGAAAACAGAAATGAAAAATTAATTAACAATAATGATAATAATAATAGTGGGTTCTTGTATAGTGCTCATGTCTGCCAGATTTGACACTCCTGGCGCCCACGATTATTACCCTGGCTTTAGCACGGCTGCCATTACGGCGCTCTAGCATTTCAAGGAATTAATTCCTGCCAGGTACCCATTTACATCAACTGGGTTGAGTGTGGCAAATGTAGATCAATGTCTTGCCAAAGGACATTAGTGCCGCGGCGGGACTCGAACCGCGGACCTTGTGATCGACAGTCCGGTGACATATCCACTCGACCACAACACCTCTACATACCATTCCAGACATCTAAGTGTTGACAGATTTTTAAAAGCCTGTCTAATGCCTTACTTTCAAGGAAAAACGTTTGGGAAAATTCAAAAATGGTTGGGAGAATTTACTGTTAATCACTGTTCAAGGGTGTTGCACAGTGACACCTTCAAAGAAAACCATACATATCTTTGTGGTTTGAGAATTTTCTCAGGACTTTTTGCTTGTTAGAGGGCAAGTACAGTAGAATGAATATATATACATAACATTTCATACAAAAATTACATATATTTAAAAATCAACCTTCAACAATGTTACCGAGTCACTTTAAAATATGCAAGCCTCCATTTTGGATTATAATGACAATAGGGAAAAATGCGTGCCTACATTATTATACAAAATGCTGGCTCGCTTGTTTTTTCTCTCCCCTTAGACTAATATTATTAATTTAAAAGTCATGAAAAGGCACTTAATATCAACGAATATGGTCTACAACAACTCCAAATGACAAAATAATCCCAGCTAGACTGTCTAGGCATGTTTTTAAATCAAATTTTAAAGATATCCAATTTGCAATTCAGTGCTACACACGACTTGATAGCCTCAAAAAACTTGAACATTTTCTCTTTGTTGTTGTTGATCATTCACTTTTCATTGATCAGCGATAGACATTTATCATCCGACTTCACCTGATCGGCCAGCGATCAGCCCCCAAACCGATTATCAATAACTGGTTTAATACTCACTGCATGTTGAAAGGTGCCATGATACGGACAGTGTATTGCCTCTCCTTGGCTAGCTTGAGTTTAGGGATCTTCGCAGGATCAAACTCTGGTGGGTAGTATTTCTGAAAGAAAGAAAGAAAGAAAGAAAGAAAATATATCTCATTTAGTTTTAAAGATATCCAATTTGCAATTTAGTGCTAAACATCACTTGAAGTGCATGAACATGGCTTCAAATTAGTGCTGTGGTCAAACGTTTAACCGTCCAGTCTCTGACTGCCCATGGCACTATCCGTTTTCTATCGGACGGTTTTGTTTTCCTGTTGTTGTTTTTTGTATAAATTAATTAGACAAATCATTATTTTCGGAAGAAATTGCCACACAGTCTATTCATTCACTAGTTGAAATGAGGAATGGTAGTTTGTTGCTTTCGGATGATGCTTGAAAATCCAAGGGCATACATGTACATACAGATGAATTTATCTGTAGGGTAGAGCGCCCGGTATTCGGTCACTTAAGGGGAAATCGCTAATATTTTGAATTCTTACCTCTTTTTATTGGCAATCTACCCATCAAAAGAAAAGAAATTTATTCCTCTAACAGGATTTTATAGTCACTTCAAATATAGAATGATGATAAACAAATTACTACCGAGAGAAGGCGGAGCATTTTTCTGCCCAGAATTCGGTCGCGCCGAATAGAATTCGGTCACGCGATTTGTGCGTGGTATATCCGTTGCCAAGGAGTGAAGCTTATTTGCGCACTATTTTCACACAATTGCGCGATAAAGCACTGAATGTCAATCCGTTGACCGAATACTGGACGAGCGATACCGCATGGCAAGGGTATCGTATAAATACCTCTTGCACATCGGCAAGTGCGTCATTTGCAAATTCGCTGCGATGGAGCTAACACGGAAGAGCTCCTCTTCACACACATACTAAATTCATTGCGACAGCACACGTAGTTGTTTCGCAATAGACTTCTACATATGGCTATGCATGTTAGCGCATGTACTAACAGAACGCAGAAGTGCATAAAGTTGTGAGACACTGACCAATTTCGAGCTAAGTTGGAGATCTTTCCGGGGCCCTAAATCTGATTTAATTTTGAGAGTTAAGAAAAGTTGTTCAGCTGCCTGCTTTGTGCCAGTTTCGTGGCTCATAAATTATTTTTTTAATTGTTACAGCTGTTGAAACGGCGGTCTGACCGAATACTGGGAATGGACCGAATACTGGATGCGCTACCCTAGGCCTAGACCGAATTTTCCGTCTCTTTCGTTCGTTAGCCTCTTATTGGGGTAGGGTCGGCTCTCTCTTTAGAGACGGAAACCGTCTATACACATTCCCTTGATAACGCCACGGCCATTTCAGGTCGTAGCGTTTTGCCCCCAAAATCCCCCAAAATGTCATTTTACCTCATGCATTGATTATTTAAAATTAGGAGAAGGTTATACTACATCGGTTCCACTTACCAACTTGACTGAAATAATCCGTTTAATGGTCCCTTTTAAGGAAATTATGGGTCAAAATCAAAATCCATGTTGAAATCTTGCAAGCCATGTTAAACTCTCGCTGCGCACGGAGTCATCTAAATCAATCTCATCCCTTCTAGTCTACGCCGAAGGCAAAACGATTATGAAGGAAAAACTGTGCGCCATCTACACGTTCGTAATGGCGTTATCACAGTTTTTCCTTCATAATCGTTTTGCCTTCGGCGTAGACTAGAAGGGATGAGATTGATTTAGATGACTCCGTGCGCAGCGAGAGTTTAACATGGCTTGCAAGATTTCAACATGGATTTTGATTTTGACCCATAATTTCCTTAAAAGGGACCATTAAACGGATTATTTCAGTCAAGTTGGTAAGTGGAACCGATGTAGTATAACCTTCTCCTAATTTTAAATAATAATGCATGAGGTAAAATGACATTTTGGGGGATATTGGGGGCAAAACGCTACGACCTGAAATGGCAGTGGCGTTATCAAGGGAATGTGTAAAGACGGTTTCCGTCTCTAAAGAGAGAGCCGACCCTACCCCAATAAGAGGCTAACGAACAAAAGAGACGGAAAATTTGGTCTACCCTAGGCCTACTGCGCGACCGAAAACACCAAGATAATTTTCTTACATAGGCAACACACAGTCACACAACCATTCAACAACGTAGGCGCATAAGCTCGGCAGAGATAGTTATAGACAACGAAAGGGAGACATGATATGATGATTTCATTGAAACATTCACAGTATCTTAACATTGAAATGACTCTCAGATGTTGAAAATGTTATCATGCAGGAGCTACTTACATTTAAAACTTTTCTCTCAGACATCTTCGGGAATTTTCTCTCCTTTCTCTAGAATCTAGACAAAGATTAGTTATCTTGCTTGGATAGATAAACGTATAGGCCTAGGCTACCGTATAGGCTACAATGAATGGTAGCTTCAAATCGAAAATATCGAAGCTTTTTTAGTTTGATTGGATGGCATGATTTTACTTCTTCAAATAAAATCTTCTGATACACGAACATATTTTGCTAACATATATTCAAATTTATGGATGTTTTTTTCCTTGGAACCTAGTGACGAGCTAATACTTGGAATCTAGTTTGCATACATTCCTTTTTACTATGTCGGGAAAGCCTCGCGCAAGTTATTCAGGTTGTCAAGAACAAACTTTGTTTAAAAAGTATGCATATTATTAAACCAGTCTATCAAGTGGCGGCAATCAACTGATTAGAACTGGCACTTTAAAGAGAGATCGTCGTGAATTGCATTTTGCAGAAATGTATTCATTTATATATTTATGAAATTCGCTAATACATCTTGAGGAGGGTAAATAAAACAAAAATAATAAATAAATACACTCAGTTAAAAAGAAAGAAAAATTGGACGCTCTTTTCTGTTCAGAATCGTTTATACCGGGAATTAATATAGGCCTATATCAAATAAAAGAAAAGTCAATTGTCTACCAACAACGATTAGGATCAAGTTTTGAACCTTCACCGTTGAATAGGCACATTTATTTAATCCTTAGAAGCTCTAATTAAGAAAATTGCAAAATTAGTAGCCATTCAAATATTAACGAACATGTGCATCCGTAAGACATGCATTCTTGTTCGACAATAAAAAGAAAGAATGAGAAACAATAAGGAGGACTGAGCTTTGGATGTCAACTGTTGTCCGTCAAGACTGCATGCGGTTTAAAAAAACACGGCCAAAATGCCTCCCCTTTTAACTCAAGATCGTGGATCGTGGATCGTGGACGAAATTCAGGATAGCTACACCATTTGAATGCCCAGATACCCCATTTTATGCAATGTTCTTTCAGAGACTCGTTTATTGTTAAATGCAAATGGAATGCTATGATTCCAATTACTTTATCTTTAATTTGATATATAATTAGATAAGTTTGTATTGAATTTTTTATTTGACAATATTGATTATAAGGTCACTAGTTGACGGCTATATACGCAGCCGCGCGTCCAGAAAAGGCGTCGAAATGGTGTATTTTTTTTAGCTATACGGTGACGTCGACGTTTTTCTTAAAAAAGGGGTGTTTTTCCCCGGTGTTTTTCAAGCGCTGATCGCACAAAAACCCTAAAATAAAGGGTATCTGTTCAGGTTCAGGTACGCCATTTACGTCCATTTCAGTAAAGGTTTGATACACCATTATAGGTTTTATTCCAGAGGTTGATGAACACAGTTGAGTAGCACTTGTGTATGCGAGTGAACCCCCCCCCCCGCCCCCCTCACCCCCCAGGTTTGCGTCTGTCTACCCCACCCGGCCCCCCCCCACTCTCTCTCTCTCTCTCTCTCTCTCTCTCTTTCCCTCTCTCAATCTCTCTCTCCCACTCTCTCTCTCTCTCTCTCTCTCTCTCTCTCTAACTACATGAAATCCGTTTAAAATTTTCACAGAGTTTAGACTTCAGAGGAAACTCTACTTACAAATGACCTGCGAAATTCCATTGACGATGGTAAAATGCTTTTTTAAAGATATTGTCAATCAAATTCTCGTTGCATTTTTTGTGTGTGGAGTCACCCGTGGACACAGTTACGCCTTTTCGACGAATCGATGGTTAACTTAAGTCAGGCGCGTACGCAGGGGGGAGGGGGGGGGGTAAACCCTCCCCCCCCTTGAGTTTTTTTTTATATGTATGTTTTATGTATGATTTTGGGGAAAACCCTCCCCCCCCCCTTTTGATTTTTTTTTTTTTTTAATAAAAAAAAATTATGCCAATGGCTGACCTCAAAAAGGTGACCTTACCCCCCCCCCAAACAAAATGTCAAATTTTCAAACTTCGAGACCAAAAAAAAAAAATGTCCTCTTACCACCCCCCCCCCCCACCCCGCTTATTCAGCGGCTGGCTGAATCGTTGCGAAATTTTGGGCCTGATTATAAACCCCCCCCCCCCCCCTTGAAAAAATCCTGCGTACGCCACTGACTTAAGTACCAGTTGAGAAACGGGTTTAATTAGAGATCTTTTGAATATTTTAATTAAAAAATGTAATCATATTTATACACCTTTACCTCATGACAAGCTTTCAACTTCAATTAGATGTTCGAGGTCGAGCAAACATACAGTTAACAACTAAATTATTCACACCCCTATCAAGTTTTGTAATTTTTTAAGTACGTGGAAAATTGATTTGTCCCAATTTATGTTTGTTGAGAATGGGACAAATTAAAACTGAAATCTAAAAGTATTCAACATTATGCCCTAATTCAACAAAACAAAAACATCACATTTACAAGATGTATATATAAATAATTTATTTGTTAAGTGTATAATGATTCTACTAACAACGCGTAATATAGGCTTGTTCAATATTGTACTTTGATTATTGAATATTACTCGTATCTAGACAACAGATGAATTAATTCGCATGGGGCACTCAACAAAGATGAAAGGCTATGAATAAAGTTAGGTTGAATAACAAAAATGGTCTAGGTAGGTCTATTATTTTGCAACCCATTGATGTTTCGAAGTTAAATCGATGTATTCCTATATATTTTTTTAATTTAATGGAACTTCTTCGTTTATGAGATGTATATTTCCATTCTAAATTATGTGGAGTTGTGAGAGTGCACGTGAAGAGGGAGGGAGGGAGGGAGTGTGTGTGTATGTGTGTGTGTTATAGAGAGAGAGCGGGGGAGGGAGAGAGAGAGGGAGAGAGAGGGAGGTAGAGAAAGAAAGAAAGAGAGAGAGAGGGAGAGAGAGAGAGAGAGAGAGAGAATGAGATTTTAAACAAAATCGCTACCCTGAGTAACGGGTCTGCAACAAATTGGATGGGATAGAAAGCCCCACCATCGCAAGCTATGTGTAATAAGTGTAATTAGTGGTGGGGAGGGGTCTTTGTGCTTCAAAAATTAATTTATGTTTATTTATTGTTATTTTCACCCATAGACTCCCCCAGTTTATGATAAAACATATACACACTTTCTTTGCCCTAAAAAAGCTTCTTGGGTATTCAACATTTTGAATGTTGTCCAACAAGTAAGTAACAGAAGTTAGCACAAGTGCTAGTCGAGCCTAGTTCCATTTTTTTAGCAAGATTTATTTTAAATTTGTTAATAAACATGAATGTAAACTTGTTTGTTTTGTATTGACATGTATACAAAACTAATAATACAGTATCATGTTACTTTTGTACATTTTTTTTCTTTCTCTCTCTTCCATTTAATATTTTTTTCTTTCCTATCAACGTTCTGTTATATAAAATGTAATTTTCAAAATAATACCTATAATGTTCTCTCAGTAACTGTGTTAATTTATTATGGGCGTTCCCAACTCAAGCTATGCTTTCCGGGTTTTCGCCTCCTTCCGTATCTGAATTATTTACTGTATACTCTATGTTGAAATAATTGTTACATATATCATGTATATATACATTGTGTTTCATATTGTACTGTTGAGAAGGAAATAAATGTTAATAAATACAATACAAATACAATATAAAAGAAGCCAACAAAATAAGTTTGAGTGCTATAGCATTATAATGAAAGATACAAAATCTGCTAACATATACAATCATCACTATGTTCATAAAATTAAAAGTATGTATTCATTAAAAAAAATCATACAGATGTACGTATATGCAAACATACTGTAATATTTAAGGGCAGCTGTAATCGTTAACAAGGAAGTGTATACATATATACATGGAAGACAAGTAAAATAATAAAAAACCGACGGGGGGTGTTGAGCCCACGTCATTTACAATTATAGGTGAAAAGTTGTCTCTGAAAAGATAACCTCGATGTTTATAATTTAATTTCATACAAACGAAATACAAAATTGTTCTTGCGTTTTCATACATTTTAGTTGATAGAGTAAGCCACTTTGTTACATTCTGATTTCTGAGCTGTATCATCTGACAATAATCGACTAAGAGTGTGGTAGTACATTGTTTACCAAATTATACACACAATTATGTTGATACAAGAAGTTCATGAAGTTGAAAAGTATTTGATATTTCTAGACTTTGAAAAAGATGTTTGGAATCTGTTTAAGTAGACTGAATTTAATTGCTCTTATTGCCATACATACATACATACACATACACACATACAATATTATGTATACATTATATTATACATCATTAAGTGTAGACTTATGTACGAAATTCCAATCTTAGTATGAATTTGGATGAAATATATATGCAGTGGATATTCACCATTATGATTTGCAGACTAACAGGTGTATTCACACAAATCCAATCACAGTATGATATCATATAAAACATAATATGCAATGAATAATCACCATTATGACGTGCAGACTTATGCACAAAAATCCAATATCAGTATGATAGCATATGAAACATGCATGTACATTGGACTAGTGTCCCTCTATAAAGGGACACTACATTGGACTATAACCATTACGATGTGCGGACCTTTGAACACAAATCCTATTTCAGTATGAAATTACATGACATATATATATATATATATACAATGGACATTCACCATTAGAATGTGCAAACTTTATGCACACAAATCCAATCTCAGTATGATATCATATAAAACATGTATGTGCATGGGACTATTATCATTACGATGTGCGGACCTTTGCACACAAATCCTATCTCAGTATGAAATTACATGACATATATGCGATGGACATTCACCATTAGAATGTGCAAACTTATGCACAAAAATCAAATCTCAGTATGATATAAAACATAATTTATATGCAATGGATACTCACCATTATGAAGTACAGACTTATGCACAAAAATCCAATCTCAGTATATCGTTTATGTAATATTTATGCAATGGATACTCACCATTATGAAGTGCAGACTTATGCACAAAATTCATTCTCAGTATGATATTGCATGACATTATATGCAATAGATAGTCAACATTATGACGTGCAGATTTATGCACAAAAATCCAATCTGAGTAAATACATATATGCATTTGACATTCACCAGTATGATGTACAGACTTAAGCACACAACAATCTTAATTCAACATCGAGATATGATTTCATACGAAATTCATATTCAATTGCAATTCACCATTATAATAATGCAGACTTATGCACAAAAAGTCCAATCTCAGTATATCATATGAAATGTACGGTATATGCGATGTACATTCGCCATTATGATGTGCAGATTTAGCACAAAATTGCGATCTCAGTATAATAAAAAAATGTAATATATCTGCATTGGATATTAACCTACATAATGTGTAGACTTATGCACAAAAATCCAATCTCGGTATGGTATCATATGAAACATTTATATACATTTCGCTTCAACATAATTATGCATCCCTATATGCACAAGTATCCAATCCAGATACGATATCATATTAACATGCATTTGACATTTACCATTATAAAGGGCAAACTTATGCAAACAAAGAATCCAATCTCAGTATGATACCATATGAAAAATATATGCTTTGGGCATTCACCATTATAATGTGTAGACTTATGCAGTTACACATTTAAACTGAACAGAGAGATAATATTAGTTTACCTGTCAACCGGTCCACACACTACTAATGCACCACAGATCTGATACTAGATATATATTCCCATAGTTGCATTCAATATGATAAACATATACATTGACATTCTTTCATTCTCTAAATAATGAACTCTTTGAAATGCTTAACTTGGCACTTTATATACACGTGTTGTATTTATAATCTTACAAATACACTGTCACTCATAAAGTTGGAATATTTTTGTTTTACCCCAATTTATGGAATTATTTTTAAAATAATTTATTCCTAATGGATCAAGATAATAGTATACATTCTCAGATTTTATTGAATAATAATTTAACAATGTGTGTTTTGCGTGACTGCTAAATCATGTGTATGCTACTATGCTTATCAACTAGGGGACCTATGCCCTTAAGTCATAAATGATAGTAATGAGGATTAATGCCCCATCGACACGGTTTTGATCCTGGGGCCTCACAGTTACGAGGCCATTGCTTTGTCACTGAACTATGACTGTACGCAGCGGGGGCTAGGGTAGGGGGCAGTTTCCATAAATTAAAAAGAAAAAAAATGCAATAAATTTTCAATAATTTATTGCATTTTACCCCGGTTCCCAATATAAACAAATCCTCTGTGTGCCCATGCCTTGAGCCATAATGTATGGTCGTCCAATGGATTTTTTAAAATGTTGGGGACCGGGGTAAAATGCAATAAATTATTGAAAATTTATTTCATTTGTTTAAATTTTTATTATTTATGCAGAAGCTTGGTTTAGTCGACTAGTGCGGGCGCCATCACTTCCAGAAGTTACGCTTAAAGTAAGACTGGGTCGGTGGAAGGTCGTGTTAACTTAATCGTGGCAACTTGGTCCGAGTAAGAAGAGCGTATGGAATGGTAAAGTCAATTATTTATAGAATATACATGCTGCTGGGAAAAACTCACGCCGACTAGAAAGCCACATCTGAATGTTATGGCTTGTCCTACCTAGCAACACGGAATGTAGATAATTCGCATTATGACCATTGAAATATAATTATTCATAACAGGTGAATGAATAATTATTTGTAACATCGCACTAAACAAAGATGTACGCATTAATTTGACTACATTAAACAAGTTTTCTATTAGAACGGTATAGGGTTAGGGTTAGGCATAGTGTTTGGTACAGGGTAGAAGTTCAGAATTAGATTAGTGTCGACAAATGAAACGGATAATTTATCGCAGGAGCAGGCGCCGTACACCCTCCTTGCCATGACTACTTCTTGTATTCAGGTACAAGCCCTCCAAGGTCAACTTTTCTCAAAGCTGCATCGAGATCCTTCGTGGATCCACCCTTGTTTTTCCATTCGTGCAACAGTTCTTTGGAAGCAGCCGTCGAGTCCATGAAACTTTTCTTCAATATCTTCTGTATGTGGTCGTACTTGAATCCCAAGTTTTCGAACAGTTCGCTGTATTTTCCGTCAGGTAAAAGTTTGGATAACTTGGTGATCTTCTCATCCGTTACTTCTCTGTTATTTGACATAAAACATATATGTTTATATCAATTTACCCAAATTGAATAACTATAATTATTAAAGACCCATGATTTTGAAAAACAATATTTTGTCAAAGGGCAGAGTTTTAATCATTTCTTATAATTTCTTTTCATTTAATTATTTGTTTGAAATAGCCGTTTTTCCTTTAATGTACCCGAATACAAAGCCTGCATTTATTATGTCCTTATTCTATCAATTCTATTTTTTCTCTTCTTCGAAACAATTATAATTATTTAGTACCAGAGTCAAAAATGACCAACTGATTTGCATATTAAAGTATATTATTCTCAACATTTGCCTTTTCTTGTAAAACATAAACACATGTACGAAAATGCTTCTAAATGTAACGTTTTTGTTGTTGTTTTGTTTGGGGGAGGGGGTCATAAATCAAGTATGCATTGATTTCACAAAACACAGGCACATATGCATTCAAATGTTGGCTATCATCATGAAAAAAGTACAATTTAAAAAGGAAGTTTCTTACTCTTTGCAATACCCATTTAGTTCGTGAAATTCCATGAAAATGATTCCTCCTTTAAGTCTCATTAGAAGTCAATTTGGATATCACTTCTGGAATTTTGATAACTTAAATAACTCCGCCATATCGAGAGAAATCCTTCCCTATAAATCATCATAAAATATTGTGTTAGATTTGTGGACCTTTCTAAAGCCTTTGATATCTCAATATGTAGTTTATAATAACAATTCCTCAAAATGTTATTCTATTACCACTAGGTTCTATCCTAGGTCCTCTACTCTTTTTTATTCACATTAATGATCTTACATATTCTTCTGACAAATTTAATTACATTATGGTATGCTGACGATACCACTTTAATTTACACCCAACCTAACACTCATAACTTACAAACTAATATCAATACTGAATCAGACAAGGTAACGAAATTGTTCAAATCAAATAAATTGATGATAAATCCGAGTAAAACAAATTACATTACTTTCTTCCATATAGGCAGTCAAATTTCACTAATTTGCTTTACGCTTTGTTTATAAAGATAGATGACGTTCCATCAATAAGGTTAAAAGTGTTAATTGTCTCGGTGTTTATATTGATTATATTAATATTCAATGGGACACCCATGTCAATAAAGTCACTCAAAAGGTATCTAAATGTTTCGGTATATTATACAGACTAAACGACTCGCTTCCACCTTCAGCATTAATACTACTATATAATACAATCATGCTGTTTGGGGTAATTGTAGTCGAACTAAATTAGATAAATATTCAAATTGCAAACAAAATTCCCTTCGTATTTGCTTAAGATGCCATTATCGTTCCCATTTTGCCCAACTCGGAAATTGAAATCTCTTAATATTTGTGATTTGTACTATTACTCAATTCCCCTCCTTGGTTTCTTTTAATTTAAAAATAAAATTTTCTGCTAATATTTTTCAGATGTTCATTCTTAATTACCAGATACATAAAAACAATATCCGTTATAAGGATTCTTTTCACCCATGACCAGTAAAAACAAATAAGGTAATGAAATCATTAAGACATAATTTCCCTGTGATTTGAAACTCCATCCTCAATGATATTTCTGAATGCAAGTCAGTTAATTCTTTTAAACGAAAGTTGAAGCATTTTCTTTTTCTTAAATATATATAGTTATACAGTTGGCTTGCGGGTGCACCATGTGTGTGAGAGAGAGAGATAATTGAGGAGTCCTTAAAAGGACTCTGACTCGGTAATCTTTCTTGGGGGTGTGTAGTCCTGAAAAGGACTATATATTGTTATTCATCTTTTGTTTATAGTTGTGTTATATGTTTTTTGTTAATGTTTTTGTTTGTTTGTTTGTTATCTTTGCTTTACATTATGCTAGGAATCATTTGGAAACTACGCTTGTACAAGGCCTAAGGGCTATATTTATATAGTTCCCCATTTATTTTTCTAAATATGCTTTTAAATTATTGTGTATCTATTGTATCAATGTATTTTTTTAACCGAGAATGAAATAAATTAGAGTTGAATTGATTAGAACAAAGAATCGCTTTTCACATGATCATTTGTATGTATCATTTGAGTGGGACACTGGTCTTGGGATTACGATTTGAAAGAAACTGTAGAAACGAATGAGAAATCTTTATTATGTAATGAATTATAATTGATGTATAGTGTGAGGTTTGGGAATGATCAAAATCAAATGAAAACCTTGCTGAAGAACACATGCACTTCAGAAAATTATTTTGTCCACAAATTTCTGTTATATCTTGTAATATTTCAAATAAAAAAGGCATTTGAAGAGCAATCCGTTTCAGGTTTGACTTCTATCATGATATTCTACCAAACCTACAAACACAGATTGAGGACGCTCACAATTTTATTTTATTTTTTTAACCATAACTCAGCCAGCTCATTGAATTGAAATAATATATTATAAATAGGCTACATACCCTGAGAGCGTTGGCACCTCTGCTGATTGTGATCTGGCATCCATTGGACAGAATGCTGCTCCTCTTACTGGTGTCATTGCCACGTTTGTTGTTGCTGTTGTTTTCATGCGATTATTGGAAACAAATGTGAGTTTGTAAATTAATGAAAAGCCAGGTCCATTCCTGTCATTGTCATGAAAACAGAGTTTAAGGTACTAGTATTTATAATTGCTACTCTTTAAGAAATGCTATATGGGGGCGGGGGTTGCTTCTATTATATGAGGTACTGCACTCTTCCAAATGCCTGGTCTACTGTAGAACTATATGAATAACTAAATCTGGTTTATGCAGGCACTAATCATTTAAAGAAACACTCATGTTAAGATTACTTCTATTCTTGTGTAGTGATATCAAATAGGAGAGAATTAACTGTAGGAGAAGTAGGAATGTGTCACATGACACATACATCTTGAGCTTTAAATACATTTATCATTTACGATTATGTTTGAAATGGTTCTAGGATAATTACACCCTGGGCAATCACCCCCGGAAAACTGTCCCCAGAAAACAACCCTAAGGACAATTACCCCCGGAGAATTAACCACCGGAGAATTATCTTCCGAGGACAACTTCCCCCGAGGACAATTATCACCGAGGACAACTACCACCCGAGGACAACTACCCCCGTGGAAAAATCAGGATTCAATAGCAAAAGATCCGATCTGAAACATTGAGAGATGGCTACGAGCCCATAAAATCCCATGCATGAACCCAGATTCGTTCAAATACTAGCACGTTATTTTCCTCATTACTACACATTTCCCTTCAATTTATGCGGTTGCTGTTTTCCAAGAAGGATGCAAGATTTTGGTTATTGTCCAGCGCGTTTAAAAACGCATGGAAATACATTTTTCCGTAGCAGTGTTATTTCGACTTTTTGTTAGTCACGGTACCCTCTTAAGAAATGAAAGGTTTCTTCCATTCCCAAATTCTTCATAGACTAGGCTATTTATTTTGCAACACTCTGGCACTCGTCAAGTACTATGAACACACGTATGGGCACATTTTGTTTCTAAAGCAGGGCTCCCACTTAGCCGAGTTGGAGCCTCGAGTTGTGGCGAGCTGGCGCGAGCTTATGGCAAGCCGTCTTATCAAGAAATATGTTTTAAGAATATCAAGAATTACCATTGCTTTACAACGTAAAATTATTTCTTGATATCAAAAAACTGATTTCTTGATATGTTTTAACTCGAGGCTCCAACTCGGCTAAGTGGAAGCCCTGCTTTAATTCAGCAAACGAGCAAGAACTTAAATAAAAGGAGAAGCCACTTTCTAACTGGCACAAAATTAGTTTGTAATCAACACACTAGAAGTGAGTTTAAGTACTGTTCGCGGGCATCTCGCCGCCGAATTTACATGAATAAAAAGTGATATATTCAGTCTTGACCTTGATACACGAATATTAGGATATTCGGGCCTCTCGTTGCCCTCATTTATCATGTTTCTAAATACTCGGTGATTAGAACAACTAAGCATCTGCATGAAATGTTTTACCTTGGAAACGCGTGTTGAATTTGATCGTCTGTGTAGAGGTTTGAACCACTTCAAGTACCACTAATGTCTCATCACTCTCCTCGGTCAGATCGAGCTCAAAGTACTTTGTCACTTTCGTTTGCGTCCTGATATCGCTGAACTGAATAACCTGAGGAGATTGCCCGATATTATAGTTAATTTGCATTCATGATTGTGAAATGTGGGCCAAAACGTAGATGTAGAGTGTTCTTATGAAAATAATGAAGAAAAATTGCCTGTATTTTCAAACTTTGTCCAATTAAATCCATCGTTCCGCATCTAATTTCTTCAAAACAAATTCCATTTCTTTATCCCTTTATTCCTGGACCCCAGGGAAGAACAGTTTTGTTATACTAACAAAGCTGAATGGGTTATCCAGCCATTCACTATACCATTGATTTTACTATGTACATGCATTTTCTTTGTATTGTTTTTAATATTGTGATATGGAAAATAAATACCAATACTAATACCAAAATCCCAGGCTACCAACATCCAAGTGCATGAACCAATGTCGTAATTTCAGTGAATTTCGTCAAAGCGTCATTCATATTTGTCACTCGATTGCTTATATATATATATATATATATACAGTGCGTCCCAGAAAAAACGAAACCGAGAAGTATCGATGTTTTATCATAACTTAATCAAAACTATAATTAATGAATGATACATATTTGGAAAGCTTAGAGTCTCCTCTTTCAGTTGATGCTACTCACGTGATGCATATTTTACGCATTAGTGATTAACAGCAATTTGAAGGAAGGAAACCGAAAAGTAATTTGGCGGGCGGTATCTGAATTTCAAAGAAAAATTCATATTTCCAAAAAGTTCATTTTCTGCTCTTTCATATGATACCTCAATCAAGAAAAATGAGCCAGGAATAACAAAGTTCTGTTTGTTTAAAGTAGCCCTTACATTTTCATAATTTTAACTTTTAACAAACGAATTCGTTTTCACTGGGTGCCTGCCGTAGCAAAAAAGCAGATTTGACAAAAGACTTAACTCCGTTTCGTTGACAATCAGCCGTAGACGAGAGTCTTCATGCATGGCTGATTGTCAACGAAACGGAGTTAAGTCTTTTGTTAATTTCATTTATTAATACGACAGGCAGCCAGTGAAAACGAATTCGTTTATGGAAATGCAAGCATTACTTTAAACAAACAGAACTTTGTCATTCCTCGCTCATTTTTCCTAATTGAGGTGTCATATGAAAGGGCAGAAACTCAACTTTCTAGAAATGTGAATTTTTCTTCGAAATTCAGATACGGCCCGCCAAATGTCTTTTTGGTTTCCTTCCTTCAAATTGCTTTTAATCACTCATGCGTGACATATGCATTATCTGAGTAGCATCAACTGAAAGAGGAGACACTAAGCTTTCCAAATATGTATCATTCATTAATTATAGTTTTGATTAAGTTATGATAGAACATCGATACTTCTCGGTTTCGTTTTTTCTGGGACGCACTGTATATATTCCTAGAAGCGTAGTTCTAAGAATATTTATTATCATTATCATCACCGATCGAATAATTCAATTGAGTTCTTTGGCACTTTGTTTTACTTTTCTCCTGTTCGCTCTGAATTGATTGTTGATTCGCATGGCTCTTCTTTCAATTTATTTTAATTAAGTATAACAATTTTGTGAACCAAAGTCCGTTTACATGTACCTCTGATTTGGGACTCTTCTCCCTCAGCTGGCAAGCGACAGTTAGTGTTCCCTGCAGAAACACAATATCATCGTCATCGCCCTTCACAGGTTGAAAACAGAGGTCCTTCAAAGCATGGACATCGTCCTAAAAAAAAATCATGTGAACAATAAATATTGTAATAAATTTATCTGGAAATTGTAAAGTAGATATAAATCATTTGTACACTTGTACTTTATGACTACTCTCCGATGTATGTGTATTTCAACTGAAGTACTCGCTGGAATCGTCCTAAGAAATAAGCTGTCGTTGCATCATTTGCATTGGTCAACCAAGGAAAATAGGAAAACTAAGATGACGTCCAAAATGACATTAATCGAGAGAAATAGTCAAAATTGAATAGGTCTAGGGCCTTCTATTAACAGTAGGGATGTTACAGATAAGTCTAAAAGTATATTTTCGGCATCGGAATATATGCATTCGTTGAATTGATATTATGAAAGTGGACAAATTGCGAGGAACAGTCTGAAATGCAGTTATCAATATGTTTACTTGACCATGCTCGATGAATATTTACGACCAAGACTTAAAAAGCCCAAAAGAGAAATAATAATGTTATTTAAGAACCAAAAGGTGCTGAAGGAGGTTAAAGTTTTATTTTAACATACAAATACTTACGGTTAAAGTGATATATTTGTTTGATTTTTGAAATACAGACAAGGCTCTAAAACTGTTAATTTGCCTAAGAATTTGTTAATGGGAGAGCGACACATTCTCACCATCGACGCAAGGATAAACAATGCCTACCTGCAACGATCAGGCTTAAATATGCCCCCCCAATACAAATTAGAAAAATAAATGGTGTTCATGTCTGTTTACCCATTTTAGGTCATGTGGCTTCTTCACGAAACGAACCTCCAGGACTGGTTTTCTGGAGGGAGGCATGTGTGTCGGAAGAAACGACATGCATGACAGTAAGATGCCCTTCAGAAATAGCCAGTCCCAAAATACTGCAAAGAATCCTCCAGAAAAATGGCTGATTGAGATCTCTAGCCACCGTTTTTGTACTGAACAAATAAAGTCGGAGGAATCTGGAAGCCGTTTAGGTGTACCTTTCAAATAACACGAAACGAATTCAATTTAAAGAAAAACGACAGACAACGACTTAAACACAGGGAATTGTCCTGCCGCATTAGGCTTAACATAAGTATGCATCGTATTTTTGCGACTGGAATACATCATTTAAAAGGGTGAATTACAACAAAAAACAAGACTTACTTTATTATATACTGGTTTATATCAAAAATATATCATTTTGGCGAATATGAGGAAAAGACATTGTCAAATATTTTTCAATTCAATAAACACAATTGTAATGAAATATTTTTCTCATGTGTTTTTCTTGAGTAAGGGAAGACAAAATATGTGTACATAGACCTTAATCTGCTAATGGAAGAAATGAAAATTTGTTTTTCTGATGACCGTGATTAATCTATTCTTATAACAAACTACCCACTGTGAAATTTTCTGTGAAATAAAAAATATGTCAAGAAAATTGCGAAGAGCCCATGAAACCACAGAATTGGTTTAAAGTTTTGGAACTGATTGGGGACGCAAACATGATCATAATGAGTGTATTGTGACATATACATGGGTTCATCATTCACATGGCATGATAATCAACGTCAAGGGCTTCATTCAGTTAATGGACATGCTCACAAAAAGCTATGCTGGGCAACATTGTCATTCTTCGGGTTGTTTGGTAACTTTTGCGTTGATAGAAATAATAGGAAACTAGACTTTAATTCGTCACTTAGACGAATTAGGTGATACGTATGATAATGGTTTACATAACGAATAATGCATTACACGATATATTATTTTGCTTCTCCCATTCATATGCTTCTCCCATTATGATCTATTCATATGTCAAGATTAAATTGTGTCTCCTTGATCATCATGGATCTAGGGAAGATAGATTGAAACAATATATGACCTTTGACCCTGTGCAGTAACCAGTTACACATTTGACTCTAATTTACATCATGAAGAACACCTTTTGACGATTTTATCTTATTCAAAGAAATGAAAATGTAATTGATAAATGATTAGCATCATTTTGATAATGATGATCGTGATGATCATGATCATGATCATGAGCGCGATCATGACATCTTATTGAAAAAATGAGGGTTGATTTAGATAGCATATAATCTCAGCTACAACATACTCAAAAATCAACAAAATCCAAGCCGAAATAACGGCGATATTGCTCGCAAAAGACAGGAATGTAGAATCCAGATTTGAAAAAAAAAGTCATTTCCCATGGGGATTACACGCAAAAAGTAATGGATTAAGTGAAAATAGGGTAATAATAAAGTAAAAAGGGTTATTTATGACATTATTTGCGAATCTACGTGTTTAAATAATACGATGGTACAGTGAAGGTCAAAAGGAAAAAAAAAGTGAAAAAAAAAAGTGTTGGAGACACCCGGAATCGAACCAGGGATCTCGAGGTTGGAAGTCAAGTGCGTTACCGATATAACAAAACATCTCCCATAGCGATTAATTACACGTAAACGGGAAATGGAATTCAGAAATCCTACTTTGCAAGTGAAATATGAGCATAATCCCGGCATCTGATCGAAATATAAAAGGCACACGTGTGATAGCTTATTGTCTCAGCTACAACATATTCGAAGCTCAGCGAAAACAAAACTAAAATATGGGAGATTTCGCTCGCAAAAGACAGGAGTGTAGAATCCAGTTTTGAGAAAAAGTCATGTCCCATAGAGAATACACGCAAAATGTGAAAAATTGACATGCCTCCTTTAATCACAAAAGTACGCCTTGATGCCTTAGTCAAAATGAAAAATTGTGGCAACTATACTTGTAGCAAATTGTCTCAGCTAGAACATATCAAAATTTAAAAGAAAATTGATCCATATTTACAGAGATACAATTAATTTTCCAAAAATATGCTGACGTCATAATATGCAAATTGAAATTTTGAGTTTGGAGGCCATTATGATGACATCATGAGTTAATTGAGGGTCAAATGAGACATGAAATCATATCTCCAACTCATAATCTATCTAAATATGAAAACATATTTGACCCAACCATTCTGAACAGTTACAATGAATTTTGTATAGGCATGTTTTTGCCAATGTATGGTGGATAAAGATAACGCAGATCTGCGCGTGCTGTCAACTTTGACGGACGCTCATTGCGTTATTAAAAGGTGAACAAGTTATCAAAATGCTTGGAAAAATGTATCAAATATAATGACAGAAAAAATTCGGCGATTCTATATTGCAAAATGCCAGTACGCGCGAAAATGCGCGCGCATGCGCGTGTGCGTAATTTTTTTATCAAATGCTCCATATGGCCTGAAACGGATGTAAAAAAAAATTGGGATGATTTGGAGCATTTTAATTTTTTTCGCGCGCGTAAACGCGCGGACATAAGCGTACGCGCATTTTTGCGCGCATTTATTGACTTGAAATTGACCGGACGGATATTGAGTTTAATCATGATAAATATGAATGAAAAATGGCTTTCCTTTATGAAGATATGATCATAAGTTGATTTTCACAAAATGGCGCCTGGATGACGTCACGATGACCTTGACTGTCTGAAAAGTCACACAGTTCTAAGTTAGACTAAGATCTATCATCATTGAAAGTTTCATGATAATGGCTTTATTCAGTCTTGAGATATCCTGCGAACAAATTCGAGGAAGAATAATAAAAATAAATAATAATAATAATAACTAGACTTTAATTCGTCACTTAGACGAATTAGGTGATACGTATGATAATGGTCTACATAACGAATAATGCATTACACGATATATTATTTTGTAAAATGCTTCTCCCATTTATTTGCTTCTCCCATTATGATCTATTCATATGTCAAGATTAAATTGTGTCTCCTTGATTATCATGGATCTAGGGAAGATAGATTGAAACAATACATGACCTTTGACCCTGTGCAGTAACCAGTAACACATTTGACTCTAATTTACATCATGAAGAACACCTTTTGACGATTTTATCTTATTCAAAGAAATGAAAATGTTCTTGATAAATGATTATCATCATTATGATAATGATGATCATGATGATCATGATCATGATCATGACATCTTATTGAAAAAATGAGGGTTGATTTAGATAGCATATAGTCTCAGGTACAACATACTCAAAAATCCACAAAATCCAAGCAGAACTAACGGCGATATTGCTCGCAAAAGACAGGAATGTAGACCCCAGATTTGAGAAAAAGTCATCTCCCTTAGGGATTACACGCCAAAAGTAATGGATTAAGTGAAAATTGGGTAATAATAAAGTAAAAAGGGTTGTTTATGACATTATTTGCGATTCTACGTGTTTAAATAATCAAAGGAGATGGTACAGTGAAAGGTCAAAAGGAAAAAAAAAGTGAAGAAAAAAAATTGTTGGAGACACCCGGACTCGAACCAGGGATCTCGCGGTTGGAAGTCAAGTGCGTTACTGATATACCAAAAAATCTCCCATAGCGATAACACGTAAACGGGAAATGGAATTCTGAAGTCCTACTTTGCAAGTAAAATATGAGCATGATCCCGGCATATGATCGAAAAATAAAGTGCACAATAGAGATAGCCTTTTGTCTCAGCTACAACATACCCGAAGCTCAGCAAAAACAAAGCTAAAACAACGGAGATATTGTTCGCGAAAGAGGGAAATGTAGAATCCAGTTTTGAGAAATAGTCATGTGCCATAGACAATACACGCAAAATGTGAAAAATTGACATGCCTCCTTTAATCGCAAAATTACGACATGATACCTTTGTCAAACTGGAAAATTGTGGACACTCCATTTGTAGAAAATTATCTCAGCTAGAACATATCAAAATTTGCAAGAAAAAAAAATCAATATTTACAGAGATACAATCAAATTTTCAAAAATATGCTGACGTCATAACATGCAAATTAAATTTTTGAGTTCGGAGGCCATTATGATGACGTCATTAGTTAATTGAGGGTCAAATGAGACATAAAATCATATTTCCGACTCATAATCTATCTAAATATGAAAAAATATTTGGAGTTCTTATCTATTCTGAAGAGTTACAAAGAACTTTGTATAGGCATGATTTGCTCATGTATTGTGGATAAAGATAACGCAGGTCCGCGCGCGCTGTCAACTTTGACGGACGCTCATTGCGTTATTAAAGGGTTAACAAGTTATCAAAATGCTAGGAAAAATGTGCTAAATATGATGATAGAGAAATTTCGGCGATTCTATGTTGCAAAACGCTAGTACGCGCAAAAAACGCGCGCGCATGCGCGTGAGCATTATTTTTTGTCAAATGCTCCATATGGCCTGAAACGTATGCAAACAAAATTGGGGATGATTGAGAGCATTTTAAATTTTTGCGCGCGCGTAAACGCGCGGACGAACGCGCACGCGCGCATTTGCGCACGTTAATTGACCTGAAATTGACCGGTAGGATATTGATCTTATTCATGATAAATATGAATTAAAAATTACTTTCCGTTATGAAGATATGATCATAAGTTGATTTTAATAAAATGGCGCCTAGATGACGTCACGATGATGTTGAGTTTATGAAAAGTCACGCAGTTCTAAGTTAGGCTAAGATCTATCATCATGGCAAGTTTCATGATAATGGCTAAAGCCATTCTTGAGATATCCTGCGAACAAAATTGAGGAAGAATAATAATAATTTCTTCTATACAGACACAAAATAAATACTAGACTTTAATTCGTCACTTTGACGAATTAGGTGATACGTATGCTAATGGTTTACATAATAAAGAATGCATTATACGATATCATATTATTTTATGAAATGCTTCATCCATTAAGATCTATCCATATGTCAAGTTTAAATTGTGTCCCCTTGATCATTATAGATGTAGGGAAGATAGATTGAAAAAATATGACCATTGACCCTGCGCAGTAACCAGTTACACCTTTGATTCTAATTTATATCACGAAGAACACATTTTGACGATTTTATCTTATTCAAAGAAATGAAAATGTAATTGATAAATGATTATCATCATTATGATATTGATGATCATGATAATCATGATGAAGATCATGATCATGAGCGGGATCCTGACATCTTATTGAAAAAATGAGGGGTGATTTAGATAGCACATAGCACAAAATCCAAGCAGAAATAACAGCGATATTGCTCGCAAAAGACAGGAATGTAGAATCCAGATTTGAGAAAAAATTATCTCCCACAGGGATTACACGCAAAAAGTAATGGATTAAGTGAAAAAAGGGAAACACTAAAGTAAATAGGGTTGTTTATTACATTATTTGCGATTCTACGTGTTTAAATAATCAAAGGAGATGGTACAGTGAAAGGTCAAAAGGAAAAAAAAAGGTGGAGAAAAAATTGTTGGAGACACCCGGACTCGAACCCGGGATCTCAAGGTCGGAAGTCAAGTGCGTTACCCATATACCAAAACATTTCTCATAGCGATTACACGTAAACGAAAATGGAATTCTAAAATCCCACTTTGCAAGTAAAATATGAGCATGATCCCGGCATATGATCGAAAAATGAAGTCACATTGGAGATAGCTCATTGTCTCAGCTACAACATATCCGAAGCTCACGGAAAACAAAGTTAAAAAAACGGAGATGTTGCTCGCGAAAGACGGAAATGTAGAATGCAGTTTTGAGAAATAGTCATGTCCCATAGACAATACACGCAAAATTTGAAAAATTGACATGCCTCCTTTAATTGCAAAAATACGCCATGATACCTTTGTCAAACTGGACAATTATGTACACTGGATTTGTAGAAAATTGTCTCAGCTAGAACATATCAAAATTTGAAAGAAAAAAAAGCAATATTTACAGAGATACAATCAATTTTCCAAAAATATGCATCCGTCATAATATGCAAATTTAAATTTCGAGTTCGGAGGCCATTATGATGACATTATGAGTTAATTGAGAGTCAAATGAGACATGAAATCATATTTCCATTTCATAATCTATCCACATATGAAAGAATATTGGGAGTTTCTATCTATTCTGAAGAGTTACAATGAATTTTGTATAGGCATTTTTTTGCCCATGTATTGTGGATAAAGATCACGCAAATCCGCGCGTGCTGTCAACTTTGACGGACGCTCATTGCGTTATTAAAAGGTGAACAAATTATCAAAATGCTTGGAAAAATGTACAAAATACGATGACGGAGAAAATATTGGGATTCTATGTTGCAAAATGCTAGTACGCGCAAAAAACGCGCGCGCATGCGCGTGAGCGAGATTTTTTGTCAAATGCTCTATATGGCCTTAAACGTATGCAAAAAAAATTTGGGATGATTTAGAGCATTTTAAATTTTTAAGCGCGCGTAAACGCGCGCACCTACGCGTACGCGCATTTTTACGCGCATATATTGTCCTCAAATTGACCGGGCGGATATTGACTTTGATCATGACAAATATGAATGAGAAATGGCTTTCCGTTATGAAGATATGATCATAAGTTGATTTTGACAAAATGGCGTCTAGATGACGTCACGATAATTTTGAGTCTTTGAAAAGTCACGCAGTTCTAAGTTAGACTAAGATCTATCATCATTGAAAGTTTCATGGCAATGGCTTTATTCAGTCTTGAGATATCCTGCGAACAAAATCGAGGAAGAATAATAATAAATAATAATAAATAAATAAATAATAAAAATCTTGACGAAATCAAAAGGTGATACGTAGACTTCGTTACGTATCACCTAACTAGACTTTAATTCGTCACTTAGACGAATTAGGTGATACGTATGATAATGGTCTACATAACGAATAATGCATTACACGATATATTATTTTGCTTCTCCCATTCATATGCTTCTCCCATTATGATCTATTCATATGTCAAGATTAAATTGTGTCTCCTTGATCATTATGGATCTAGGGAAGATAGATTGAAACAATATATGACCTTTGACCCTGTGCAGTAACCAGTTACACATTTCACTCTAATTTACATCATGAAGAACACCTTTTGACGATTTTTATCTTATTCAAAGAAATGAAAATGTAATTGATAAATGATTATCATCATTATGATAATGATGATCATGATGATCATGATCATGATCATGAGCGCGATCCTGATATCTTGTTACAAAAATGAGGGTTGATTTAGATAGCATAAAGTCTCAGCTACAACATACTCAAAAATCAACAAAATCCAAGCCGAAATAACGGCGATATTGCTCGCAAAAGACAGGAATGTAGACTCCAGATTTTAGAAAAAGTCATCTCCCATAGGGATTACACGCAAAAAGTAATGGATGAAGTGAAAATAGGGTAATAATAAAGTAAAAAGGGTTATTTATGACATTATCTGCGAATATACGTGTTTAAATAATCAAAGGAGATGGTACAGTGAAGGCCAAAAGGAAAAAAAGTGAAGAAAAAAAAAAGTGTTGGAGACACCCGGACTCCAACCAGGGATCTCGAGGTTGGAAGTCAAGTGCGTTACCGATATACCAAAACATCTCCCATAGCGATTACACGTAAACGGGAAATGGAATTCAGAAATCCTACTTTGCAAGTGAAATATGAGCATGATCCCGGCATCTAATCGAAAATTGAAAGGCACAGTTTTGATAGCTCATTGTCTCAGCTACAACATATTCAAAGTTCAAAGAAAACAAAGCTAAAACAACGGAGATTTTGATCGCGAAAGACAGGAGTGTAGAATCCAGTTTTGAGAAAAAGTCATGTCCCATAGAGAATACACGCAAAATGCGAACAATTGACATGCCTCCTTTAATTGCAAAAATACACCATGATACTTTTGTCAAAAATAAAAATTGTGAATATTACATTTGTAGAAAATTGTCTCAGCTAGAACTTATCAAAATTAAAAAAAGAAAATTAATCCATATTTACAGAGATACAATCAATTTTCCAAAAATATGCTGACGTCATAATATGCAAATTAAAAATTTGAGTTTGGAGGCCATTATGATGACGTCATGAGTTAATTGAGGATCAAATGAGACATGAAATCATATCTCCGACTCATAATCTATCCAAATATGAAAAAATATTAGGAGTTTCTATCTATTCTAAAGAGTTACAATGACTTTTATATAGGCATGTTTTTGCCCATGTATTGTAGATAAAGATAACGCAAATCCACGCGTGCTGTCAACTTTGACGGACGCTCATTGCGTTAATAAAAGGTGAACAAGTTATCAAAATGCTTGGAAAAATGTACCAAATATAATGACAGAAAAAATTCGGCGATTCTATATTGCAAAATGCCAGTACGCGCGAAAACGCGCGCGCATGCGCGTGTGCGTAATTTTTTTATCAAATGCTCCATATGGCCTGAAACGGATGTAAAAAAAAATTGGGATGATTTGGAGCATTTTAATTTTTTTCGCGCGCGTAAACGCGCGGACATAAGCGTACGCGCATTTTTGCGCGCATTTATTGACTTGAAATTGACCGGACGGATATTGAGTTTAATCATGATAAATATGAATGAAAAATGGCTTTCCTTTATGAAGATATGATCATAAGTTGATTTTCACAAAATGGCGCCTGGATGACGTCACGATGACCTTGACTGTCTGAAAAGTCACACAGTTCTAAGTTAGACTAAGATCTATCATCATTGAAAGTTTCATGATAATGGCTTTATTCAGTCTTGAGATATCCTGCGAACAAATTCGAGGAAGAATAATAAAAATAAATAATAATAATAATAATAATAATAAAGAAAAATCTTGACGAAATCAAAAGGTGATACGTTGACTTCGTTACGTATCACCTAATAATAATAAAGAAAAATCTTGACGAAATCAAAAGGTGATACGTTGACTTCGTTACGTATCACCTAACAAAACTAAATACTTAACGTTAGGGTGTAGTAAATTCTGCTTGTATTTTTTTTACCAATTGGTCGAATTTGCCAAATATTATAAATATGAGGTCACGAATGGGTGTCAACAATTATGAGCCTTTCTGAGAACCATAATGACGAATCTTGAGTACTTGACTACTATCATAGGCATGTTTATGAATGTTTTCAAAGCATTGACCTATAGCTGATATCGCCATCCGAAAACATTAAGAAAAGGCATTGATCTTATGTCATTGGTCATAATATGTCAGATCTTATGTCATATTTGCTTCTGAAAGCTGTGGCAAACTTTATTCAGCTGTCAACATAGTCCGTCAATTGCGGAGTTTGGGGAGATATGTATCCCAATATTAAACAGGTTAAATGATGTAAAGTCTCGAGTGCCAATGATGGCCGCAGATAATCTCTATTTGCAGAGTCGAGTGCCCCCTATTACAAAAAAAAAGTGAAAGAAAATCTTAGAATACAAGATTATCCTTAACTCATTACATAACAATTTTGCTTGACTAGAAATCGAGTTGAAGTCTATGCCAATGTCGGGGTAAATACATTAGATTATATGCCAGTTAACAAACTATTATGTGATTTTCATGTTTATGCTTGCGGAAAGCCTATAAACGTGATTTAGTTACCTGACTGATTCCAGGAATACAGTATGGTCTGTACTTTGTTAGGAGCAGTAACTAATGCACAGTGAGGTATTATCAGCTTTGCCGGTTTCTTAAAGCGTAGCCCAGACGGGTAACACTTGAAGCCATGGCTGACTAGAAGCTCGTCCTCTTTAAGTGTGAGGCCATTTGGAATCTCGGTCAGGACCCGAAGGCTGATTTTCTCATCTTCCTCAAGGGCACCAGGTGGAATGTGGAGTGTAAACCCATGCGATTTGGTGGACAGCTTTCCTCCAAGAGCCCCAAACTTTCCACTTGCATAACTACCATCTGATAACAGCGATGCAAATATATATATTAACAGCATTCTGTACAGTCAATATATATTTTTCAAGCTCTGAAGTCACAGGCGAGAACCTCCTGCTAAAAATACAGTGCATGTACAAATGAACATGGAGTCTCATTTTCCAGACTCACTTCATTTTGTTTTGTATTCATGAAAATAACAACGCCAAGAGAATACATGAACGACAAAGTATATTAACGATTTGATGTTTATATAACGACGACAGATGGTTACTTATGAAAACATTTGTGTAGTATATATATTTATGTTTTTTACCGCTGATCTGACGCCGGGCCGGAGATTCTTGCTTGTGACCTCAGATATATACAAATAAAATGAATCACAATATTCTTAATTTGGAGGTGAATATCCCTATGTGTTCTTGCAGAAAATATGCACCCGACTCAGGTGCATTAAACGTATCTCACCTAAGGCGTGGTTTACTTGCTCTACATCGTCTGTTCCATCACTTTGCGCCATTTCCGGAAGTTTGTCATAATCGTTCTCCTCGGCCTCAGTAGTACCTCTTTCGAAATAAAAACACACAACAACATACAAGTACACAATCTGTATACAGTACACAACTAAGTTAATCATACCTCTTGTGAATTTGATGTACATGTATTTTAATTGTTTTTTCGTTACTCAAGAATTTGTTGTAACTGTTGAAGATTTACTTTCGTGTGAGCCTGTCATAGAACGAACCATTGGTGTATAAATGTATATTGACTTTCGTGAACATATTTCCAGCATTTGTGTCGGTTTAATAGCGGTTCGGTATAAATACCCTTATCTGGTCATGCACATATAATTTTTTCCGAACTCGGAGATTAATGAAGATGTCCCTACTTTGAAAATATCATCTGTCGGAAAACTTCATTGGTAGCATAGTGGACTGGTAGTTTGCCTTCACCATCCCTTATATCTAGCTTTGCACCGTGCTCCAGCAGGTATAAGACCAAAGCCTTCTCTGGGGAAAGCTCTTGCTGATAGAAGTCCTCTGAGATCTGAGTCAAAATACCAAGGTGTATCAAAAGAGATTATACAAACTGTTTGAAAATGTGCAGTGATAGTTTGTATGTTTTTATATCTTTAAACACAGGTCATTTTAAAGTTTGACGTTAAAGACAGCGTTATTTTCCATCGATGTTAGGTTGACCGATCAAGTGAGGTAACCATCGCAGCCAATCTCTTAAATTACCCGTGAATTTCCCGTCGAAACACTTTTAAAAAAGCACCAACGTAACAATCTGCCTCCTACCTTCAATAGCACTACCGTTCATCTTTATTTATTTGATAGATTTGCCGGCCAGATTCTCGTGCTCTCGTTCGTTACCAAAAACAAGGATGGAAGAAGTTAAATGCTTTTGTCATCAAACTTTAACAAGATATGTGTGCACTAAAGCTTTCATGACACCGTATGCCACCATACAGGGCGTTAGCGATACAATGGGTAACTATGCTCTGTCGTATATAGGAACATCGGAAAAAAGGGATGTAACGATTTCTTTCTTATTTTCGTCCGAAATTAACATCTTTCTCAAGGATTAATGGTTTTATCCAATTAAACCAAGAACTAATCCCCTATAAGCATGATAACGGGGATTCGAACGTAGGCCTAGTAATTATGGAATATTATGCTTTGAGCATTTAGCCTTGACTGGCAAATTGTGCTATTTAACTGGTACCATTCCACCAAACCAACAAAAGTTATCTATAAATATTGAGTTCTGACTGTTCTGACATGACTGTTCGGTCACTATGCGGGAAAAAGCTCTAAATCACATGTGAAAATATCAAACCTCAGCTTAAGAAAAGTGAAGGCATTAACATGATCAAGATTTTCTTCTTGCAGACCAGCCTCTGAAATGTCCCAGCTTTTTGAGTTTCTAATCGTTTTTACCTGCTTAGATTTCCCTTGTGTTTGCTCTTTTCTGTCCTCGTGATCAGAAAGTGTGATGGCTTCATGGAGACAGGTCTTTCCTTTGTGCGACCGGATGTTCAAGGAAGCTCCATGAGAAACCAGCGATTCGACAACCGGTGTGTGGCCATTTTGAGTGGCGAGGTGAATGGCAGTCAATCCATCGTCATCACGATCATCGAGAATCCCAGTGATCTGTATAACAACAAATAATAATTTATCAATTCAAAATTAATTTATGAATTATAGGTGTATTCCTCATCATATCGATCTGGTACCATTCCATAACTACGTAGACTTTCAACTAGCATTGAAATGCCCCCAAATTATCGGGATAAAAAAAAACATTGGCCTACATTTTGAGGAATCTGAATGTGATTATATCTAAGCCCGGAAACATGGCATTCGAAATAAACTCCACTAAGCTAGGTTTGTCTTTATTATTACCTATTTTCTTAAATCGAATTTTGACGCTTTTTTATCATTTATATTGGCTCCCCCTATGTGGATCGAGGAATGATTTATTACCCACCTTTGCGTGTTTTGCCAAGCTGTCGGAGGAGTCGGGGTTTCCTTTCTTGGAAGATAGATGCAGCGGGTTCTGTCCATTGACATCTTTTACATCAACTAGGGCTCCTTCCTCAAGCAGGACCTTAACAATATCGAAGTCACCGTTCATAGCAGCATTATGCAAGGGGGTGGAGCCGTTTCTGTCAACAATGTTTACACTTATTCCTAACGCTAGCAAATACTTTGTGACACCAAGATGACCTTCCTGAGCTGCACTGTGTAATACAGTCTTGCCCTCAATATCTCCCCTATTCATCTCAGCTCCTTGACTGATGAGATATTTGGTGACATCGAGAAGACCCTTCTGAGTAGCACTGTGTAATGCTGTCCCACCCTTATTATCTCCCCTATTCACCTCAGCTCCTTGACTGATGAGATATTTTGTGACATCAAAAAAACCCTTCTGAGCAGCACTGTGTAGTGAATTCCTACCCTCATTATCTCCCTTATTCACCTCAGCTCCTTGACTGATCAGGTATTTGGTGACATCAAGGTGATCTTTGGAAGCAGCAAGTTGTAATGCAGTCCTACCCTCATTATCTCCCTCATTTACCTTAGCTCCTTGACTGATGAGATATTTGGTGACATCAAGATGACCCTCCTCAGAAGCACTGTGTAATGCAGTCCTGCCCTTAGTATCTCCCTTATTCACCTCAGCTCCTTGACTGATGAGATATTTGGTGACATCAAGATAATTCTTCTGAGAAGCGATGTGTAATGCATTCATACCCTCATTATCTCCCTCATTCATCTCGGCTCCTTGGCTGATGAGATAATTGGTGATATCAAGATGACTCTCCTGAACAGCAGCATACAATGCTCTCCTGCCGTCATTGTCTCCCTTATTCACCTCAGCTCCTTGACTGATGAGATGTTTCGTGACATCTAAATGATCATTCTGAGCAGCAACGTGTAATGCTGTCCAGCCGTCGTTATCTCCATTATTCACCTCAGCTCCTTGACTGATGAGATAGTTGGTGACATCAAGATGACCCTCCTGAGCAGCAGTATATAATGCAGTCCAACCGTCGTTATCTCCATTATTCACCTCAGCTCCTTGACAAATGAGATATTTGGTGACTTCAAAATGACCCTTCTGAGCAGCAACGTGTAATGCTGTCCAACCGTCATTATCTCCCTTATTCACCTGAGCCCCTTGGCTGATGAGATATTTGGTAACTTCAAGATGACCCTCATGAGCAGCACTGTGTAATGCAGTCCAACCGTCATTTCTTCCCATATTCACCTCAGCTCCTTGACTGATGAGATATTTGGTAACTTCAAGATGACCCTCATGAGCAGCACTGTGTAATGCAGTCCAACCGTCATTTCTCCCCTTATTCACCTCAGCTCCTTGAGTGATGAGATACCTGGTGACATCAAGATGACCGTCCTGAGCAGCGGTATAGAGTGCAGTCCAACCGTCATTATCTCCCTTATTTACTTCAGCTCCTTGACCGATGAGATATTTGGTGACATCAAGATGACCCTTCTGAGCAGCACTGTGTAATGCTGTAATGCCGTCATTATCTCCTGTATTCACATCAACTCCTTGCCTGATGAGATGTTTCGTGACATCTAAACGACCCTTCTGAGCAGCAACGTGTAATGCTGTCCTGCCGTCATTATTTTCCCTATTCACCTCAGCTTCTTGACTAGTGAGATATTTGGCGATATCAAGATGACCCTCCTGAGCAGTACTATGTAATGCTGTCCTACCGTCATTATCTCCCTTATTTAACTCAGCTCCTTGGGTGATGAGATATTTCGTGACATCAAGATGACCCTCCTGAGCAGCACTATGTAATGCAGTCCGACCGTCATTTCTTCCCTTATTCACCTCAGCTCTTTGAGTGACGAGACATTTGGTGACATCAAGATGACCCTTCTGAGCAGCACTGTGTAATGCTGTAATGCCGTCATTATCTCCCTTATTCACCTCAACTCCTTGAGTGGTGAGATTTTTCGTGACATCTAAACGACCATTCCGAGCAGCAACGTGTAATGCTGTCCTGCCGTCATTATTTTCCCTATTTACCTCAGCTCCTCGGTTGATGAGATATTTCGTGACATCAAGATGACCCTCCTGAGCAGCACTATTTAATGCAGTCCAACCGTCATTTCTTCCCTTATTCACCTCAGCTCCTTGAGTGATGAGACATTTGGTGATATCAAGATGACCCTCCTGAGCAGCACTATGTAATGCTGTCCTGCCGTCATTATCTCCTATATTTAATTCAGCTCCTTGAGTGATGAGATATTTCGTGACATCAAGATGACCCTCCTGAGCAGCACTATGTAATGCAGTCCAACCGTCATTTCTTCCCTTATTCACCTCAGCTCCTTGAGTGATGAGACATTTGGTGACATCAAGATGACCCTCCTGAGCAGCACTATTTAATGCAGGCCAACCGTCATTTCTTCCCTTATTCACCTCAGCTCCTTGACTGATGAGATATTTGGTAACTTCAAGATGACCCTCATGAGCAGCACTGTGTAATGCAGTCCAACCGTCATTTCTCCCCTTATTCACCTCAGCTCCTTGAGTGATGAGATATTTGGTAACTTCAAGATGACCCTCATGAGCAGCACTGTGTAATGCAGTCCAACCGTCATTTCTCCCCTTATTCACCTCAGCTCCTTGAGTGATGAGATACCTGGTGACATCAAGATGACCGTCCTGAGCAGCGGTATAGAGTGCAGTCCAACCGTCATTATCTCCCTTATTTACTTCAGCTCCTTGACCGATGAGATATTTGGTGACATCAAGATGACCCTTCTGAGCAGCACTGTGTAATGCTGTAATGCCGTCATTATCTCCTGTATTCACATCAACTCCTTGCCTGATGAGATGTTTCGTGACATCTAAACGACCCTTCTGAGCAGCAACGTGTAATGCTGTCCTGCCGTCATTATTTTCCCTATTCACCTCAGCTTCTTGACTAGTGAGATATTTGGCGATATCAAGATGACCCTCCTGAGCAGTACTATGTAATGCTGTCCTACCGTCATTATCTCCCTTATTTAACTCAGCTCCTTGGGTGATGAGATATTTCGTGACATCAAGATGACCCTCCTGAGCAGCACTATGTAATGCAGTCCGACCGTCATTTCTTCCCTTATTCACCTCAGCTCTTTGAGTGACGAGACATTTGGTGACATCAAGATGACCCTTCTGAGCAGCACTGTGTAATGCTGTAATGCCGTCATTATCTCCCTTATTCACCTCAACTCCTTGAGTGGTGAGATTTTTCGTGACATCTAAACGACCATTTCGAGCAGCAACGTGTAATGCTGTCCTGCCGTCATTATTTTCCCTATTTACCTCAGCTCCTCGGTTGATGAGATATTTCGTGACATCAAGATGACCCTCCTGAGCAGCACTATTTAATGCAGTCCAACCGTCATTTCTTCCCTTATTCACCTCAGCTCCTTGAGTGATGAGACATTTGGTGATATCAAGATGACCCTCCTGAGCAGCACTATGTAATGCTGTCCTGCCGTCATTATCTCCTATATTTAATTCAGCTCCTTGAGTGATGAGATATTTCGTGACATCAAGATGACCCTCCTGAGCAGCACTATGTAATGCAGTCCAACCGTCATTTCTTCCCTTATTCACCTCAGCTCCTTGAGTGATGAGACATTTGGTGACATCAAGATGACCCTCATGAGCAGCAGTATATAATGCAGTCCAACCATCATTATCTCCCTTATTCACCTCAGCTCCATGATCGATGTGATATTTCAAGACTTCAAGATGACCCTTCTGAGCAGCAACATGTAATGCTGTCCACCCATCATTATCTCCCTTATTCACCTCAGCTCCTTGACTGATAAGACACTTGGTGATATCAAGATAAACCTCATGAGCAGCATTGTGTAATGCAGTCCAACCGTCATTATCTCCCTTATTCACCTCAGCTCCTTGACTGATAAGATATATGGCGACATCAAGATGTCCATCCTGAGCAGCAGTATAAAATGCAGTCCAACCATCATTGTCTACCTTATTCACCTGAGCTCCTTGACTGGTGAGATATTTCGTGACATCAAGACGACCCTCATGAGCAGCAACGTGCAATGCTGTCCAACCATCATTATCACCCTTATTCACCTCAGCTCCTTGACTGATGAGAAAATTAGTGACATCAAGGTGACCCTCCTGAGCAGCAACGTGAAATGATGTCCTTCCGTCATTATCACCCTTATTCACCTCAGCTCCTTGACTGATGAGATGTTTGGTGACATCAAGATCACCTTCCTGAGCAGCACTATGTAATGCAGTCCAGTCGTCATTAGCTACCGTATTCACCTCAGCTCCTTGACTGATGAGATTGTTGGTGTCATGAAGATCATCGTATCTTGCTGCAATGTTTAAAGGAGTCATGCCTTTAGCCTAGCTCTGCCCTGTTATAATGCAGAGTAGCCGTCCTTGTCTTCTTTCGCCATATTAGCTCCTTGTCTAAGTATAACTTTCGTTGCTATCAGACGCACGAGTGATGCAGCGATATGTTAGGGTGTTTGTTCATCTTGAGTCGCCGTATCCACATCAGATCCATACTGGAACGCTCTACTAGAAATGATACGATTAAGATTCGAAATCTTTTGTAGCTGATAACCCATTTGCATTCTGCATGTTACAAGTTTAAACATGCACCACACTTGTTTGTTCTTTCTCGCAATGGGTAGTTGGTTTTTATGTTGTTTTCAACAAGTTCCAAAGTCCTGCGCAGTGAACTAAATCGTAATTCATATATCTGTCATTCCTATACCACGGTTAGGCTTCTGTCTTTCCTCTTTTGTGTTGTTGTTGGGCGGGGGGGGGGGTAGCAATCATCAATATTTAAATAAATGAAAAACCAAGGGCATTCCCCCCTCCCCCTCCCCTTCACTCTAAATCAAAGGGTGTAAACGTTTTTCCTGTTCGTCATTTCACGGAGACATACATTCAGATGAATCTACGTAAAGATATTTTCAAGGAGGGCAATCGTCTTGCACAAAGATGGACAAACAGTCTACGGTGAATTATTTCCAGTCAACAGTAACATCCGTTGCATTGGAGTCCATGCATGGAGAGTTCCATTTTTACAAAGTGTTCTTTATGGAAGTCCTGGTTGAAAAGAAGTGGTGTAGTGACCTTTGTTACAGCCAAGGTCGACTGGAACGCTTCCCTTTGAACGTTAACTAGCTTCGTTGTACTGAGGTACACATGAATTTGTCATTAGGGACTTTTAGATTTGCGTGGACTGATACGTGTGACGTCCATTCAAGGCAGTGCATTAAAAGGACGTCGATCGTAGCAATCCCCATTGTCTTCGTGCGGATCTAAAAGTCCCTATTATGTATTGACTTTTACCGTGATGCAAAGTCAAACATCGAATAGAAAAAGAAAGAAAAGAGAAAGAATTGTGTAAAAAATAAATTCAAGAAAGGATCAAAATGCCCACCCCCCCACCCCCCCCCCCCTTCGGATGTGGGAGTATTCCCAGCTACAGCAAAACTCAAAAACGCATTTAAAAAAAAAATATATATATATATATTTTTTTTTTTTAACATATGGGTCATGGAACAGCCTTACCCGTAAAACTCTTCCTTTTTGTAAACAGATTCTACGACGTTTAAGGGAGACACGATTTAATATATTACATTGGAAGAAACATGTTCCTTGGTTGACTGAACATTTGTTTTTTGTTATCCTGATAGTAATTAATTATTTGCACCCAGGCTTCTGGGCTCTGGCGGTCATGTAGGAGTATAATCCAATTAAGTTTCTTAAATTTCATATGAAATGAGACTTTGGTAATCTAACATCGCCTCGCTTAAAAATCTAAATGCATACAATACAATAAATACAATATAATAGACAATTTCGGATTACCCCCCCCCCTTGAGTTTGTATTTATGTGTACGTTTTGTGTAAGATTTTTGAGAACCCCCCCCCCCCCCTTTTCAGGTAAATGAAATAATTTGTATTGAGGCATTTCACAAAGACTGATTCATTAAATTTGGTTACATTACGAAAATGGCCTATTGGAAGTGTGCGCCCGTTATACTTAGACAAAGAAAACCATGCAAGCCGACAAAAATCCGCTCCAAGCTTCACTGCATTCTCCACTGCATTCCATTGTATGCGTGCCTGGCTTGCATCTGAGAGCCGAATTTCTTTTTACTTTCCGGCGGGGGCGGACTCACTTTGTGATGTTTCAAGGGACGCTTGACTGAATATGTGATTTATATCAACAAAATTTGTCGTTTGCACCCAAGCTGCTTGTAGCCATGGAGCAGCATAATTCAATTTGGTTACCTTAATTTCATATGTTATCGCGAAGTTGCATCGATTAGAAATTCGAATGCATACATTACAATAGACAAGTTAGTAAATTTAAGGACATTGTTACACATTAAAAAAAACTTTGGCATTAAGC